GTGATTCCATTTGCTGTCTGAAATGATATGGGCTCTGGAGTCACGAGTGTCTCAAGACTATGCTTCTCGATCTTCTTCTGAGATATGAGGTCATGGCCACACCCAGTGTCCATGAGAAACTTGATCTTCTTCTTGAGGATGACTGGTTGAACCATGCATTTTCATACACCTTGATTGATGATCCGCTTGCTGTGCGCAGCATCGAGTTCACGCTCAACGATGGAATCCTCACCGTCGTAGAAGGAGACTTCCTCCACCCGAGACGTTCCTGGGATTCGCACGAATGAAACTCGATCTCCACATTGATCATCATCGTCATCAACCATGTCTCTCATAATCTGTGCCCTCAATCTCGCTTTGTGCTTGGCGAATTCCAAATTCACGGCGCGATCCTCATCGTTGACAAGCGCTTCCATGTCGACGTACTTCACCTTCCGCTCTTTGTCCTTCTTCGATCTTCTAGGACACGAAGAAATGAACTTCACGTCATCGGCGAATGTCACATTACGATTGATCCCTTTTCGGGTCGACGTAGTCGGTCCCGAGGATTCGTCGTCTGTTGAACAATCCGAATCAGCGTCGCTGTCAACGGATGGACAATCTGACTCCTCCTCATCTTGTCTCGAAGATCGCTTCCATATCGCCGGAGCTGATGGATTCCACCTTCGGCACAATCTGATGGCGGGTGCCGCAGGGAGCGCCTTGGCCTTGGCATTCGGCTTCGCTGGAGCTGCCTTCGCTTCGGATTTGGCTTTAGCCTTTGCCTTTGGTTCCGTAGCTGGGGTAGCTGCTGCCTCATGCTTGAAAGGACAATTCTCTCTTGAGCACGAGCCTGTGTTCTTGAACGAGTAGCATATCCTGTTTCCTCCTCCTCCAGATGGACTTGGAGTTATCGTCCTCGGCGTAAAGGGTCGCTCTGGAGTCTTCTTCGAGTGACTGAATGGGCACTTGTCACCATTTCGACACCCTGCATCTGTGAAATGGAACTTGCAGCGGATTTGCTTCTTGCTCTTGTCGCCTCTGTTGTCCGCTGACTCACTCATCGTCTTCTTCTTGGGCTTTGGCTTGGTCTTCGCATGACTCTTCGCTTTGCTTTGAGGTAGTACAGGTGTTGCTTTATCCGGCTTGGTCGGCGAAGCCTTGACCTTTGCGGATGGAGCTGCGTTAGGCGTTGGTTTCTCAGGTACCTTGGCCGGTGCAGCAAGCAAATCCTTGCCCTCAAGCATCTGGCGCAAGCAAATTTGGGTCTGAGTGAGATTTGATTGTTCTCGTCTCCGCATGATGGTACGGTCAATGATCTTCATCAAATTGTCGTACGATCGGTCTTCATGATTGTAGGGCAAGTGTTCGTAGTGCATGCCAAACTCCATCTTCATTGCGGGCGAGTCCTTGATCTTGCTGTACAAGCAATCACGGAGAGCTGTTTTGGATGGTATGTCTTCTGGCCTCATCCGTCCCAGAACCTCCAACCACGTCTGCTTGAACGTATGAAGTTTGTTGTCGCCTTGGTACTGGAGCTTAACCAGATACTCGAGAGTGATGATCATGTCGAGACGATCATGTGTTCGAAAACTTTCATACATCATCGCAATGATTTGTCGTCCTTTGATGATCTTCCCTTCGGGCCTGCTGATGTAATCGTTGGCCTTCCGGTTTACCTCCAGGTACAGATCAGCAGATTTGTCACCACCAGCGCGTAGCATTGCGACCATTGCAATCCCCAATTTGACGTCCACGCTCTTGAACTTCTTGTGTCCCGAATCGTTCAGTGCTTCGACATCAGGGAATGGGTTGAATGCCGGTGCCAACCATAACATCCAGTCCTCATGATTTGGATCGGCTGATGCTCCTAAGACATTCGCCGTGCATACGGATCGCCAGTTGTTGAGGTGAGTGAGAGTAGGCCATGGAGGAACGGTCACTTTGTCGGCCTCCCTCCTGGAAATTCTCACTTCCGTGACTTCAGGATCTGCGTCTCCATCAGGATCACGCGCATGAGATCCAGGATCCGATTCAGGTTTGCCTCCACCGCTTCTCTTCTTGTCATCATCATCATCAGGCGGGTCTGGAGGGTCATACCCCGTGCCGGTTCCTTCATCATGCTCTCCATCTTCATTCTCGTCGCCAGCTTCGTCACCGTCATCGTCTCCATTATCCTCCTGAATCGTTTCAGCGAATAATCTCCACTCATCACGATCAGCTCTGAGACGCTGTTCGGCTTTCTGGGCCTTGAGTACTTCGCTTCGCAGATCGGCAATCTTCTCCTCGTACCGTTCCGCGACCTCTTTCTCGATCTGACGTCTCCTTGCTTCATGAATGGAATCGTCATAGGCAATAGGGGGACCAATGAGGTCGTTGCCCTTCGTAGATGCGGTGATACCGTCGACACCAACAGGTCTTGAGGAGCTGGCAGATGCTGTGGACTTCGATCCCAACATCCCGCGATCCTCCAAGAGTTCGCGTAGCTGTCGATCACGCACGGCTGCCGCATCACTTTTCCCATGAAATCCGCTTGGTATGCCGAACAAAGTGGCTGCACTAGGCGTGGAACGCGCAAGTGCTGGGCTGCTAATACCTGGCACGTAGTGCTCGGGCATTGCATCCGCCACGATTGGCATTGAAGTGCGGCCAGTGAAGAAGTTTCCACCGGTAAATGGAATTCCATCCATCACAAGGTTCTTGTCCTTGTCCGATTCCGAGAATGCGAACTTCTCTTTGGCGACTGGACTAACTTGACTTGGGGACCGTATTTCAGGGGATCGTACCTCACCTCCTACGGAAAATGCAGGCAATACTTCCTTTCCTACGTGCTCCCAGCCAGACTCAGTAGTCCTCGAAGACATGGGCATGCTCGAAGGCCGTGTCGCTCCTCCATAGTTGGAGTTTCGTGCTGCCTCCAATTCGCTGCGTGTCCTCGCTTGAAGATCTTCTTGTGCTTTGAGCGTTTTCCTGAGTTCACTCAGCTCGTCGTGCAAGGTAGGCAATGCTCGCCTTGCATGATCTTCATTCTGATGAAGTCGGTCCTCTGCATCTTGCATCCTCTTCACAGCCATTTTGCGGTACTCTTCCTCTTCACCAAGACGTTCGCGAAGCCGAAATCGTTCTTGATCAATGGCTGCGCTGTTTCCAGCTAGCCCTTGGATCTCGTTCACGGCCCGCAACTCCTGGTTCTTGACCAAGTGGAATCGTTCCTGCATTGCTTGTAAGGCTTGTTCCGAACTTGCTGTGTTTGACCGGAGGACCAAGTTCTCTCTGGCATGTTCATGAAGTTCATGAGTCAGACGCTCATACTCACGTGCCATAAGCTCACCATCGCCTTGCGCTCTTGCCTCCAACTGCACAAAGTTAGTGGCTGCCTCCGTGCGGAACACGTGTAGCTGTTGAGCTAACTCCTCGGCAACGGCATGTGCTTGACGTTGTTGAGCAGAGTTCTGTTCATCCATGCGAAACAAAGCTGTTTCATAGTCTCGCTTCATCTCCTGATTGACATTGTTGATGTGCCTCATGGCTAAGCATGCATGGTCACGTTGTCGTTCCAATTCTTCGATGCGAATTCCAGATCCTTCATCTTCTTGTTGCATCTCCTTGATCTTGTCCATCAGGGTCTGGACGACTCCTTCGTACTCTTGCATCTGACTGCGATAGTACATCTGCTGTGCAAGGTTAGATGCTTCGAGCTGTTGCGAAATCGTCAGTTCCTGATAGGCATTCGGACCATCGGCTATGGCTGGCGTGGTCACCGATGACGCATCACCACGTGCTGGGATAGTGTCCAGAGTCATATCCAGATCGTCAGCATCACGTGGTTGATTGGTAACCATCCGATTCCAAGTCATGGATTTGTCACGCCCACGAGTAGCCGAAGTCCTCGATCGTGCTGAAGAGCTTCTCGAAGATGATGGTCTTGACTTCTTTTCCAAGGTCTTCACTCCTTTGTCCTTGGCCCTGGACGTAGTCCGAGGTGCCTGAAAACCAGACGCTTCGGCTCGTCGTTCGGGAGCCTTGCCCGTCCTCGAACCTGTTGATGTCGGACGCGAAGGCGTAGATGCTCTTGGTAGACTCTTTGCTTTCACCTTGGGAACTGCCTTTGCAATGGCAAGCGCAGAAGATTGACCTTTGTCATCTTCCGTGGAGCTATCAACGGATTGCACCACTGTGTCATCAGCTGTTGACTCACCAACGGCTGGCGCTGCCACATCGGCACCGAAAGTCATTGTCGTATCTTGGCTTGATCCCGAGTTCATTGTGGTCGTAGTAGATCAAGTAGTCGTTGCTGTAGAAAGGCAGAGCCGCGTACGGCTGATAACCTGCGTGGGGGATTGATCTCGACTAGGTTGCTGCTCTCCCCACCAGAGCTGTAATGAATGTAGGTGTGGCTGGCTTGCACTCTCCACAGACTGGACCCTGTCTCTCTCTCACTTCCACACGTGCAATCCTATGCAGGCAGAACCGGTGGCCGTTCCTTTTGCACTCACTGCCGGCGGCGGTTCGTCTGTGCAACGGGATAGCTCTGATTGCTCAGGATAGAAGACACTTATAGCACTTAGCTATGGGCATTGACTTGAGCCAAACGTTGCGTGGGCGGTCACATAGAAAGGTAAAGATGAGGGACGCGTAGCGTGCCCCCTTAGAGTCGAGGGACGCGTAGCGTGCCCCCTTCTCTTGCACTTTACACGGTCTTGCTCACAGCTCTTATAGTGACACCTTAGAACTTGACAAGGCATCGCAGTCCGTTCGCATGACTTGTAGCTCTCGTTCTTCTGCTTCTGAGAATCTATGCATCAGCAACAGCGGCAAACAGCAGCAGCAGCCTAGTCCTAAGGGTGGCAAATGGTGGCAACATCTAGTTTGTACGTAGTTATGGTATTACAGACGACCACATCATCGTACGAAGAAGCGATACCGGGGCAGAAACAGAAAGACTAGAATCCTAGAAGCAGAATCACAGAACCTCGGATCTTTTAAAGCCGCGGTGAAGTTGTGAAGGTGCATTGCTCGGCCTGGCAGGCTCGCATTGCCCCGGCACCTTAGTTTTGGGAAACGGGCAGGGATATACCAACTTTTATTGCATCTTTAGACCGAGAGCCTCGGATCTACCCGTGCTTCTTTGCAGCACCCTGGGCGAAGCAATAGAAGAGAGTATCATCGGTAGCGGGGAGCAGAGGAGCGATGATGCGTTGTTGGATACTTCAGACATATCTGTCAGATCTTACCTCGGGCGGTCGGACTTCAAGGCAGCCACATGCAAGATCGGGATGGTGGTGCTCGAAACCCTATGGTTCATGAACGAAGACGAGCTAAACGAGTGATACAACTATGCAACCAACACTTTGTCCAAGAAGTAAGAAAGAGATACAAAGAACCACCCATGAATCTGGCTTGTGTGAAAAGTCCTCCGCAGCACCCTTGATGCAAGCATTTGGAGTAGCCTTATCCAGTCTGATATCGCCAGTCTGTAAGCATGCTAGCCCAGGTGCGAGCCACTTGGCTCGAGTGCCGCCGGCACAGTCGGGCACGGTGCCCGAAACGTCGCAACCTCAAGCCAGGCTTTGCTGGAAAACAAGCGTCCAACCAGTGGTGCAAGCCAAAGGCCATTCCCATGCAGTTTGTTCTGAGCTGTCCAGAGCATGCATAGCTGTGAAGCATTACAAGGAAACAATGCAGAAGTCAAGTGCTTTCTCACTGGTTCTAGAGGGGCACGTGGTTTTCCACTTCGGAATCTCCAAACCGTTCATGGAAACCATGAGCTTTATATACTCTGCTTGGAAATTCTTAAGCCCTACATTTCTGCTGTGCCTTGCTGCTGTGCGTCGGAAGTTCGCGGAGTCCCCGAAATCTCCTGAGCCCCGCCGCACTCGCCTCGGTAAAGATGCTAGGATTCTGGGGCATCCGATTGCACTTGATGACACTTCTGTGGCATTCGCCTGGCTTCGGAAACTCAAGTGGGCAAGTCTGTGTTGGGGGCAACCAACCCACCGGCGTAAAGTTTGGCCACGGCGGAGACTCAAAAACAAAACAGCAGCGTACTTCAAGCAGCATGTTCGGCAAGGCTACCGTGACCCGTTACAAGCCCCAAAAATGTCTTTGACTTTGGCAGAACTAGCGATCAGACAACCCTCTTGAAGAACCCACACTAGCAAGGAGCTCGACGATCCGGTTGCACATGTGTATCCTAAACAGGCGGCTGAACTGTGACAGATTTCTTGCACAGCACTGGGCATCCGATGGTATATCCTCTGTTGACTGAAGAAAAACAAAAAAAGGCACCTGACAATATGTCAGTCTAGAATGGATGGCGGTGCAGCATCAAAGCAATAGAAAACCGCGGACTGCAAGGTTCCAGAAGCTTTAGGTCCTTCTACTTACGGGTCTGGAAAGCGATGTTAGCCGACGACATCTGGAAAGAAGCCGACGACAAGCCAGGTTCAAACTGCAGATGCATTCCGGCGGCGCTGACCAATCACAGGTGTGAACTTTCTGTGAATTAAAAGGACTGCATGTTCCATGTGCTTCAGGACCATGAAACTTCAGCAAGGCAGAGCTAAGGGAGGCGGGAGGTCCTCCGTAGGTTCAGCTGGGTCGCATGTTGCCATATTCCCCTGGATAAGGGTCTATTCCTTGGGACATCTCACACTTCTACAGAAACGCATCGCAAAGAGCCTCCCAGATCGGAGGCTGACATCTCGATCCGAACTGAAAGACAGTTCGATCGTGCTCGTCATGCGCCGAGAGTCCCAGGTACTGTAAAGAGGGGTGCATCTGCAAGAGTCCCACGGCCACTTCGCCATGGTGGACGCCAATCTCCACCTCGGAGCACTCGTGGCAGACGAGTGCGTGCAGATCAGGTCTGAATGCGATAACATGCTCCGATAAGATGGCGACCATTCGCAGGCTCCGAGGGCTCGAAGCCCTGAGTCGAGCGATCAAGGTACCTTAGGCACAATGACGTGACCCAAAAATGCCCGAAACATCAACCCGGAAGCCCACTCTCAATCCAGGGTAGGCCGTAAAGAAAACAATGGAATGGGGAATGCAGCCAGGCTGGCTTACTACCTTGCCTACCGTGAAGATGCATTAGTCAGTTTCGGCAGCACTTTTCTCTTGCAGGATTTCGCAGACTTGAGAGCACAAACAGGTGTGATGGGAACGCACCTCGCCTGTGAACATTTCTAGTGATCGCTCCTCGAGACTTCTCGATCGCGGAAGAGCACCCAACCAGATAAGGACCGAGGGTAGTGAGTGGGTGATCTCCGTATCGGTGTGAGCGCAGCCATTCAACCAAAATGCCGAAGCTCTAGATCGGACACAAAGTGTCAAATTGCTCAGGATGCTGCTCAGGGTGTTGACGCGCAAGTCGTCTTGGCTTCTAAGATCACCTGGCACTTTATGTCGGATTCGGCGGGCTCTCCGAAAGTCTACTCCGTCTGCTGTTTGGTCTTCCAAGCCTGACCCTGGCAATGCGTACCCGCAAACTAGAGCAAGCATCGTAACCCACACAGCCAAAATGCAACTTGAGCTGAAGAAACCTATCCAGCGAACCTAGCGAGACTCCGGCTGGCAGCTCCGGCAGTTGCAGATATCCTGTTGTTAAAGCCGCGGAGACGACAGTTTGCAGGGTGGGGACTTTCCCTCAAGATTGCAGACGCAGCGCTTTTAATTCACTGGCCCTCCGCCTTTCTCCAATCCTGCTCTCTTCCATAAGAGATCTCCTGTGTCAATCCGGAACATGATGGAGTCCCACAGCAGTGCTGTCTCCAGCTGGGTCTGCATCTCAGCTCTGTACCCGGCGGACAGGCTCTGGGGTGTCTCGTCGAAATGGTATTTTTAAGGGAAAAGGTATATCGTAAAAGCCATCTTGTCCGGGAAGCTGGTTCTTGGATCCTAGTCCCCAAGCATCGCGACACTGTACAAACTAGCACGCTCCCGAATGTAACACTTTTTCTGACAAGCTTGGTTGTTAGTTCCTGGCCCGGACCGCATTGACAACGAAAAGATCCGCCCCGAAACTCCTCTATATCTTGGCTCTGTTGCGGCCTCGTAGATCTGAACTCGGGCCCCGAAGCTGCCTTTCTTACGAGGAGGACGATCGGGAGATCCGGGAGTGATCCGTGTGAGTTTCAGGCTACACGAACAAATCGATGGTGTACGTCGTTCTTTTGCTTGTGATGCCCCTGGCTCTGGAGATATCTACATTTTCATACACACACAGAGACACACACACACACACAGACACACACAGACACACACACACACACACACACTTGACACATCGTGTCGCAGGTCTGATCTGTCGGTGCATACTGTCAGGGAAAGTCAGCAGCTGTCAGGGAAAGTCAGAAGCTGCAAGGGAAAGTCAGAACATGCAATCAGAAGCTCGTACGAATCTTGCTCTAGGGTTACTGATTTGCAGGTACGTTTGCACCCCTCCCTGGGGGTGTCTTCGTTGGCCGGTGACCCCCAGGGAGAGCACCGGCCCCCTGCTCATTCGACTCAGATTTACCTACCCTTCGAAACAGGGGTGGACACACACAAGCCCTCCCGGGCTCATTGCATCCGTTCGAAACACCGGTTGACATACACATGCTCTTTCGAACTTACTGACAGGAAGCACTCACGAACATAACACATGCATGACAATGCAATCACTTGCCCAGCACTTGCATGACAATGCGCACTCACTTGTCCAGATCGCCACCAGACCACCAGAAACCAAAGCTCCACCACCAGCAGCTCCACCCCTGCTGCCTAACTCACTCACGTCTCTTGGAAACAGAGTTGGACACACACAAGCCCCGAAGGGCTCCGTGGAGTGTTGATGGTCGTTGCGCGCTGTTCTTCTCACCGATTTTTTCATCAAAACGTCTTGTCCTTGGGAGATTCGCTTACAACGATAGCGTTCCTCAGCGACATGAACATAGCACACTTGAAGAACGCGCCTGCAACACAGTAAGGCAGGGAGATGCGCACTCCGACAGCATGTAGGCATGCACTCACTCACCGATTTTTATGCTGTGAACCAATAGCATGAAGTTGCCACAGCTCACTTGACAAATCATTCTCAGTCAGCGCACATTCCACTGAACATGTCACAGGCTCATTCACCGCACGTGTCACTGGAACATAGCTGAATGTCAAAAACTTTGCATGATGTACATGCCACTGGAACATGTCGCCACCGGAACAGTTGAGTGTCACAGACTCATTCACTGCACATGCCACTGGAACATGTCGCACATGCCCTGGAACATGTCACAGACTCATTCACGGCACATGCTCTTCAGAAACACTCTAAAATACTGAAGCCAGACAACAGGCCCTCGCCCCTGCTCGTTCGATTCAGATTTGCATACCCGTTGAAACAGGGTTGGACACACACACAAGCCCTGCCGGGCACATTGTAGCCGCTCGAAACACCGGTTGACATACAAATGCCAGCGTCTGAAAGCGGAAAATCTACGAAACCGCAGAGTCTACGCATGCCAACGTAGGCGAACCACATTCATGTCAGAGAGTCTATGCATTCCAATACAAGCAACCCGCATTCATGTCACAAAACTGCGGAGTCTACGCATTCCAACATAGGCGAACCGCACTCATGTCACGAAACTGAAGTCTACGCATTCCAACATAGGCAAACCGCACTCATGTCACGCGGCAGTTAGATGCACATGCAACTGGCACATAGCAGACTCATTCATGGCACATGCCACTGGAACATAGCTGAACGTCACACACTGCGCATGACGCACATGCCACTGGAACCTAGCTGAATATCACAAACTGTGCATGACGCACATGCCACTGGAACATGTCGCAGACTCCTTCACCGGACGTGCCACTGGAACATAGCTAGATGTCACAGACTGTGCATGACGATAGCACTTACTTGACACAATGTGTCACAGCTCTCAAGTCAGCTCGAGAAGCCAGCTTGATAAGTCAGCTCAGAGATTTCAAGTTCTAGGTTACGGAACTCCAGGCGCATCGCAAGACAGATGACTGAAAGCATACAAACCGTCACTCTAGGTTACGGGTCTCCAGGCTCATTGCAAGACAGATGACTGAAAGCGCTCAAGCTGTCACTCTAGGTTACAGGTCTCCAGGCCCATTGCAAGACAGATGACTGAAAGCGCTTGCAAGATCACCTCTGAAGTCATGCAGACTGGGGCAACCATGCAAAAACAAGGAGCATTTAGTTTGTCACCTGAACCTGAGAAAAACCTGGTTTTGTCCACACAACACAAACTAGGGGCACGCCAGCTGTGTACGCAGACACCCAGGTCGCTGGACACACACAAGCCCTATCGGGCTCACTAATTCTCACAACAGGCACTCGGACTTCATCTCAGACACTTGCTAAGCAAAGCTGAACAGGTGCAAGCGCTCATGTGTTGCTGTTGAAGCATTGCAGGCAATCAGTAAAACTGACGACACTGCAGAGTCTATGCATTCCAACACAGGCGAACCACACTCATGCCAGAGAATCTACGCATTCCAACATAGGCAAACCGCACTAAAGTCACGAAACCGAAAGGTCAACGCATTCCAACCTAGGCGAACCGCACTCATGTCACGAAACTGAAGTTTACGCATTCCAACATGGGCGAACCGCACTCATGTCACGACACTGACTGCGTTCCAACATAGGCGAACCGCACTAAAGTCACAAAACCGAAAGGTCTACGCATTCCAACATAGGCGAACCGCACTCATGTAACAAAGCTGCAGAGTCAGAGTCTATGGATTGTTGTCGTCGTTGTCATCAAATGATTTGATTAGACGACTGCGAACAAGAAGAGTTACAGAGACAGGCTCGAAGAAATGACGGAGAAAGTGCATGACAATATGCACTCACTTACCCAGATCGCCACCAGACCACCAGAAACCAAAGCGTATTCCGCGGACGTCCCTTGCACATCACTTGCATATCCCCTGCACATCACTTGCACGTCCCTTGCTGCACGTCGATCATGTTCTTGGTCCGACACTGCAAAGTCTGACGAGAAGTCGGACGAGTGCACGTCCGATACAGAGACAGCATCGCTCTCAAAGCTGGACACCGACATAATTTAAAGCTACCTGTACGTTACAAGTCTTTTTAGACCTGGAGAATGCCTTGAGGACATGAATCAAAACAGTGTCTGCAAACATTCACAACACATGCTGCCAGCAGATCACTTGCATAACCCTTGCACATCGCTTGCACATCACTTGCGCGTTCCTTGCACATCCCTTGCAATACACTTGCAGCAGCACTGGCAAACAGACTCTTCTTTGCAACTGCAGAAAGTCTACGAAACTGCAGAGTCTATGCGTTCCAACATAGGCGAACCACACTCATGTCAGAGAGTCTACGCATTCCAACATAAGCAAACCGCACTCATGTCACAAATCTGCAGAGTCTACGCATTCCAACATCGGCGAACCGCACTCACGTCACGAAACTGCAGACTCTACGCATTCCAACATCGGCGAACCGCACTCATGTCACGAAACTGCAGAATCTACGCATTCCAACATAGGCGAACCACACTCATGTCAGAGAGTCTACGCCCTACGCATTCCAACATAGGCAAACCACACTCATGTCACCACTCTGCAGAGACTACGCGTTCCAACATCGGCGAACCGCACTCATGTCACGAAACTGCAGAGTCTACGCATTCCAACATCGGCAAACCGCACTCATATGTCACGAAACTGCAGAGTCTACGCATTCCAACATAGGCGAACCGCACTGATGACACAAAACTGAAGTCTACGCATTCCAACATTGGCGAGCCGCACTCATGTCACGAAACTGCAGAGTCTGAGACGCTTGTAGAGCCAATATACAGCATCGTGCTGGGCTTTCTTATTGTTCAAAACCGAGGATGCAAAGCAATTGGGCATCCACCATCACTCTACAGAAAGTCCATGCACAGGAGACTGCAATCAATGACCTCGTCTGCCATTACAAAACGAGTATGCGCTCACACTTGCTGCACGGCAAACCTGCACTGCTAGACTCTCCGTTATGTCATTCAATCGGATAGGGCTGCATGGCAGGAATACTCTCAGCAATCATTTCCAGCAGCGTCTCAAAGCAGATAGTCTACGAAACTGCAGAGTCTATGCACTCCACCATAGGCGAACCACACTCATGTCAGAGAGTCTACGCATTCCAACATAAGCAAACCACACTCATGTCGCAAATCTGCAGAGTCTACGCATTCCAACATCGGCGAACCGCACTCATGTCACGAAACTGCAGAATCTACGCATTCCAACATCAGAGAACTGCACTCATGTCACGAAACTGCAGAGTCTACGCATTCCAACATCGGCGAACCGCACTCATGTGTCACGAAACTGCAGAGTCTACGCGTTCCAACATAGGCGAACTGCACCGATGACACGAAACTGAAGTCTACGCATTCCAACATAGGCGAGCCGCACTCCTGTCACGAAACTGCAGAGTCTACGCATTCCAACATATGCAAACCGCACTCATGTCACGAAACTGCAGAGTTTACGCATTGCAACATATGCAAACCGCACTCATGTCGCGAAACTGCAGTGTACGAGTCGCACAAGCAAGCAAAACCATGTACTGAACCAATCGCTCCAGCTTGGTCGGACACTGCAAAGTCTGACGAAAAGTCGGACGAGTGCCCCCTGCTCATTCGACTCAGATTTACCTACCCTTCGAAACAGGGGTGGACACACACAAGCCCTCCCGGGCTCATTGCTCTTTCGAACTTACTGACAGGAAGCACTCACGTACATAGCACATGCATGACGATGCAATCACTTGCACAGCACTTGCATGACAATGCGCACTCACTTGTCCAGATCGCCACCAGACCACCAGAAACCAAAGCTCCACCACCAGCAGCTCCAATGCTCCACCGGGCCACCAGAAACCACAGCTCGTTCCACCAGCTTCGCTTCTGTTCAAACAAAACGCTACAAGCAAGCGATGCAGTAAGGCAGAGAGATGCGCACTCCGAAAGCATGTAGGCATGCACTCACTCACCAAGGAAGAAAAACGTTTTCAAGCTTGCACTAGCACGACACTTGCGATGCAGTAAAGCAGCGAGATGCGCACTCCGAACGCATGTAGGCATGCACGCATTGACCACAGAAGAAAAACGTTTGCCAAACTTACACTTGCACAATACTTGCACGACGACACGCACTCACTTGCACTGCTCTTGCCGATCGCAGAGTCACTGACCAAGGTAACACCTGGTGCCAAAGCTGAACGAAGTCTCAAACTGCAGCACTTGCAAACTGATCAGCAACTACCAAAAGTACAGCTCATGTACTCAACTTGCAGCCGAAGACCTGCGACAAGTCAGCGGTGAAGTCAGATTCGGGAAAGTCAATCAGATCATAGAAAGTCAGTGGGAAAGTCAGCATTCAGGTTTCGGCAAAGGCATTTGGGAAAGACTCACTGAGAAAGTCAGCTTGCAAGCACGGATATAGAATCAGGGAAAGTCATCCAATGCTTATACAGTCAATCGGGAAAGTCAGCGCCAGAGCTACCTCTGGGAGACACGGCGCCCATAGGGAATGCCGTTGTGAAGCACACTTGACACATCGTGTCGCAGGTCTGATCTGTCGGTGCATACTGTCAGGGAAAGTCAGCAGCTGTCAGGGAAAGTCAGAAGCTGCAAGGGAAAGTCAGAACATGCAATCAGAAGCTCGTACGAATCTTGCTCTAGGGTTACTGATTTGCAGGTACGTTTGCACCCCTCCCTGGGGGTGTCTTCGTTGGCCGGTGACCCCCAGGGAGAGCACCGGCCCCCTGCTCATTCGACTCAGATTTACCTACCCTTCGAAACAGGGGTGGACACACACACACACACACACACACACAGACACACACACACACACACACACACAGACACACACACACACACACACATACACACACACACACACACACACACACACACGAGCACACGCACATGCACACACGCATGCATATGCATGCATGTGTCAGCACGTCTGTATCTCATGCGCACACATGACACGAATACCTGCATGGACATGTATGCGGCTACCCTAAGCAGCCAAGGATCCCAATATAGGCCCGAATAGACGGAGATCGCAAATGCTACCTTCAAACCCTTTGCCGAGCCCGACACCACATGGGAGAGCACGGCCAGGTCCTCGCAAAGACAATGAGGCAAAGAACCGCAAATTGCTACAGTCGTAGCTGGCCACAGCATTTACAGCTTCAAGGCTGGAGGGTTCAACTGACAAGTCATGTTGACGCCAGAACGCATTCGGGAGCAGTCTGTCTTATCCGAGAGCCCGGCATGTGAACCTTGCGCGAGCCTGCGATGCCATGCATGACAGCCCAAGAATCCTGCCGGAGCGATGCAGGGGCTGTGGACCTACTTTGAGATACAGGGCTCCCTTTCACAGTCGCAGTTTCGGGTGATGACCCTTGACAGGAGCATATAGGAGCATCATTGCGAAGAGCGCCAGTCTGACCCCTTCTGCATGGGTGTCCGACACTACCCTCGTACCAAGTACCTAAGCCCTAATTTAGCCCTGCAGGTCCACCCGGCCTCGGCAATTTGGATCCGCTTCCGAAGTCGGCGGCCTTTATCCAAGCTTGGCTTTGCTGCTAGCAGAAAGCCCAGAGGTCTAGAGCCAGCCAGTTTCAACGAGCCACAAGCATCCCTGCAATTTCTGATTTCATAGTGCTACAGCCTGCAGCGGGCTCAACGGAACAGTCAGACTGGGAGCAACTATACGTACTTTTGGAGGAAGCTGCTCCGGCAGGCAAGGAGCAGTTGCATGCACGCCCCTGAAGCCAAGTTTGACAGCAGCTGCGTCGTCATCTGCGCAACATTCCTAAGCTCTTCACGCAGGCGGAGATCTTCAGCTGAATTCACAAGAGACCTGGACCTGGACCCGGCAGATCCGAAACTCCGAAACGGCACACAGACTGTCCGAGTCCGAGTCTCTCAATGGCCTCTTGTAAGCGTCGGCTTCGGCTTCGGACCGTGAGGCGCTCTGGCATCTTCAGCATGAGATCACCTCGGGGCGGATTCGGATGTGAACACCAGAGCTCACGACTCTTACGCCACTGCGCCTTACTGCGATGCCTTGCGCTTCAGTGGAGCATTACGACTCACATGTATTAATCTCGCCTCTCCCTTTGTGATCAGCCCAAAGACGGATAGATGAGCGAATCTGCAGGCAGACGTAGTAAAAGCTGTCCTTAGCAGTTGATTCGCAGCAACTGCAGTGCGAGGTGAATGTTCAACTTGCGACATCTTGCAGTTCACAAAAGCTGTAAACCAAGAACAATAGTCGAGCTTCCCAGTGCGTCATCCGTTGGGTGCACAGATCCCCCAGACTGTCGGCAAGCAGCATCACCATCATGTTCGTGCCTTGAGGGCTTCTGCAGACCACGGCGTCAGGGGTCAACAACAATCAAGGCCATGACCCACCAAACCCAAAGCTCTGAAACCCATACCGACATGGCAAGGGACCTGTGTAGACATCAGCTGTGTGGAACGCATCTTTGGCGTGCTCAATGGGCAGACCGGCCACTTCGAGGTGGTGCAGCATACTGCCGGATATGCTCAGTCATTTCTGGTTTTGGGAGGATTGATTCCTGCACGTATCGTTGGAAAGCCGCCAGCTGTGGCTATGTTGCAACTACTTCAAGGTGCGACAAAGCTGAGAGAGAACATACCCTCTGCATTTGGCTTGCACGCAAACAGTATCGACTTCAAGGGATAGTCTAACCCGAAGAGAGAATCCAAACAGAAGTATTCGCATTAATTGTTATAGTTTCCGAATCAGCGAATCATCCCTCGGTGTTCTCCTCCTGCTTGCATTGCGGAAGCCCAGCTCTTCGAGGTACTGGGGCTCCTCGCATCAAGGCGTCTTTCAGCATCACAGCGTCCTCTCCGCTATAGGATGATGTTGGCCTATAGGTTCTCTAGGCCAAAGCAGCAAAGCGCAGAAACTCTGGGTGCCTCTGAGGGAACCCTCTACGGTCTTGGGCAATGCGACCCCAACCTTACGCGACGGGCTCGGAGTCAGATGTGCGGTTATCTGGTGGGAGCAGGACCAGACTAAACTCGAGTTGTAAGCTTTCTCAGCTGGTAAAGACGAGCGCGGTGTTTCCGAAGTCAACAAACTGGCAGAGAGCTCCAGATTTGTCTCTGGAGCAGATGCTTGCAAGAACCCTATTTCCAGTACCGCACACCCTACAGTGACGTGCATGAAGCACCTGGAGCTGGCAGAAAGCGGTGGCACCTTGGAGCGACAGAATATCAAAGGTCACTGCATCTCTTCATATGAGACAGCGACGCATATGTCCGACAGAATTGAAACAGACAGCCCCGAGAATAATATTGCCATTGCAGCTACTATTGCTGCTCCTACTTCAACAAACAACAATGCGGTTTGTAACGTGTCGCCCTTACTACTACCACTAATTGCTACCACTACTATCACTACTAAGTCACTACTAACACCACCACCGCCATCGCCACCGCCACCCCACCTCGACGACTACGACTACGGCTTCTGGTGGGTAGGCACACTCTTAATAGCAGCACAAGCTATCAGACAGCATACTGGTATACTGACTCTGCTGTTGACTCGTGATAATTATCCGAGCGTAATAACCATACGTAGTAGCTGCAATAAGGATTATCTTCGGTACAATGTCGTCACCAGCCCAGCGTCTGCACGAGAAATAGCCCTCCCAAAGCCACGATTCCTGTGTTTTGCGTCATCCCGCTTCCCCACCCCTCGGCACGGGATTGCAAAACTCCCAAAATCACAAAAACAAAACTTCCAATCTCAACGACCAAAAAATTCTGAAGGCAAGCTACGCCCGGCCAGGCCCCCACCCGAGATAAGCATCAAAAACATGATCCCTGCAAGAAGGGCAACCTCCGTGAAAGTTCGACCCACGACGGAAGAGAGCCGGGTTAGGACTCCAGCCACGAAACTCAAACCTAAATGATCACGCCGATTGCAATGCACCCTTCAAATGGGTTGGAGTATGATGCTTGAACCTACCACTAGTATCAGGGCTGTTGCTGTTGACTTCGCTAGTTGCAAACCGAGTGCTGATCTTACTCTACCAGTAGTTGCGAAGAGTTAAGATTACCAGTACGGGTTGGGATGACGAGCCACAGCTGCACAATGTGACAAGAGATCACAAAAGCTTCACCTTCAGCATGCGGTTCTAAACATGCCTAGCGGTTTTCCTGGCGCCAACAATGGTAATTCGTGGCTACACTTGCGCGCCATATCATAAAACGAAGAGCAACCAAAATGCTCCCCAAACGCATTAATGTCAATCCAAATAACCCCGCAGACAAGTGACTTTAGAACGCAACCCAAGCATTGACTGTTGGCCCTGGCCTGTTGACACAGCAACTTGTCTTGGTTGTTGTACAAATGCCCCTGGTCCTGGTCGCTTTCTGCGATTGCTAACAATTCTAAAGGCTGAGGAGCAGGCTCGCCACCTGCCGGAGATCGGTGTCGCGGTTCTGAGCCTTCGGTTCCAGCTTAAGGACCCTGGGCTTCCTGCTCGGGCTCCTGCAGAATCTTTGCCTCCTAGCTTGAATGTAGCTACCTTTCTTTAGCTTGTTTTTTTTCTGGACCTTGTCTTGAGAGATCTTTTGTAGGCATCCAAGGGTCAGCCCAGTGTGCGCCGGTGTTCATGTGGCAGAACCGGCGCAGCCCAGCTGACTACATCATGCTGTTTGCTCAGCACTGCAGCGCACGTGAGGTTCGAACCCATACAAGATAACGAGGACCTGAAGGTACAGTCCCTGCCAAAACATTTATGCCATACCCAAGATGCCAAATAAATGGTGCTGTTCGCGCTGCTCTGAGGTGTCTATCCACTCTGCCGTTTTTTCAATGCAAAAAACGGCTGCTTTGCAATCAGATGCAGGCTTCGCTGGATGGAATCATGTCATCATCCACTCTCCTGTACCGCTCAGCAAGGTATCTGCTTTTCCTGTTCGAGCCAGTGCGTCTCCAAGCCATCGAGGTGAGCTGCACCCACCTCGGCTTTCTCTGCGGCATTCGAGGCAGCTCGGTCTGGCGATGTTTCACGAGACTCCCACCGCAGCCGGGCCCCTGGCAACAGCGAGAACCCGCTTTCCTCCGCAAGTAAGGAGATGCTTGGCCATAAGCTCCTGGCGCAGACATACATGCACAGTTCCAATCCCAAGTGCAGTAGTTGCTGTCATTGCGGCCTTGGAGCCGGGAAACTGCCGTTACTCGAGTTTTCTACAGGCTGAGGTAGACTCAAAAGATGTGTTAATGGCACATAAATAATATGTTTGCACGGAACAAACACTGTGTCGTGGCCAATGAAGTTGTCAAGGGTCGTCCCATCCCCTGAGGCCACTCCCTTTCAACCAACTCAAGCGTTGTTCGCAGAATCGAGAATCCAGTTTGTTGCGGGTGCCACCTCGCCCTCGCCCGTGTTTGCTCTCACTTGGCAAGCATGCCAGTTCATGTCAAATCTGATACTCCAACTGGAACAATCAGACTCGGGAAGATGTCTTGGATGATCCTTGACCTTTTGACTTGCTTGCTAGCATCATAGAATCAAGCACACCAGATTTGACAAACTCTATTCTTGTGTTACCCACCCCTGTTAGTTCGTCAAGAACGATGGTCGGCAACCCAAAGTTCGGCATTCGGCAGATTCCACAAGCCATCACAAGTCAGATCGTACAGAACATCCAACATCTGCTGCACGGAGTGCTCGCTTGCTCCCTCCGGTGTCATCGTCACCGGACGGCCGGACGCCTAGTCTTATTGGAAACTTTTTCTGACTGACAACACAGATTGCTTCAGGCTTGATTATTTCGAGTGGACTTATTTGAATGTGCTGTCAGCGTACTATTACGCCCTGACGGACGAACGGATGCAACACATCCCCGTCAAGAATGGGCTCTGTTGGTGATATTGTAACAAATTGGATGTGGGATGCCCAGAGGAGGCATCGGTGACGACAAACGCCAAAGCATTCATTAGCAGGCTGCGAATGAGAGCCGGGCGTCACGCTCGTGCAGCATGACTCTGAGGACGTTGGGGCCTTGGATGCGGCTGCCAGGCGTTTTGCAGTAGCAGCAACAGCCACAGCAGTCGTAATCCTTTTCGCCGTCGTGGTCGCAGTGGTGGTACGCAGCAGCCGCAGCAGCGGCTCTGAGGAGCCCACCGCGATCTTTCCTTAGATGACAGAGCACGACTCACCTTCAAAATTCGAGGGGGACTGCTCGAAAAAGAACCATCAATCACAGGTTTCAAAACGACACCTCTCTCCGAACACCTTGCATGCTGAGCTTCAACTCTTCGCGCAGGCGAGCGATCATCTCACGATCACGAAGCCTCAAGAGCGGGAGCAAGCACCGGGAATGGCATATCCCCAAGCATAATACACCCTGTGCCCTGAAACCCACCTGGATTTTGATGTTGCGAGGACCCCCCATACATTTCAACAATAGATTTGACATGCAGCCACCACTGAAAGCCTCCCATTCCTAGACGCAAACCAGCACTCTTGCAGAAAACATTGGCCGCCATTTCGCGGCAAAACAACGTCGGAAGCCACTTCAGCAAGATGTAAAGCGGCGTCTGAGGAATTAAGCTTGATGAAGAGCTTGAAAAGCGCGCGCAGGGAATCAATGTGCCAAAGGGCAATACTCAGCATCTGCTGGATTACCTGCTTCTTCTTCCCGATCTTGCAGACACAACGACTGAGTAGTCAAGCCGTGCGGTTACATCTGAACTGTACTGTCTCGTCTGCTGTCACCCTCGGTGCGCGGCTGCTCGATGCCATCTGCATGCATGATCTGGGGCATTGACCTCACTGCCAGGAGCTATGCTACACTGAGTCTTAAACACTGAAAATCAGGTTTCTTTGCTTTGCTCTCTTGCAGTCTTCGGCAATGATTCGGACCAGGGCTCTCTTGCTTACTGGCTTTGCTTGGGTCATGATGGCACTTGCCCCACGGCTCGAACAAGTCCAACTGGAGTTGCTAGGGACACTCCTGCTCCCCCAGATTCGATGCGCGGACAGGATCCTACAGCTGTACCTGGTACTGTTCCGGGAGCACCTGGTGGACCTGGTCATCCGGTGGTCCCTGTCTGCTGGCCAGGTCCTTTCTCTTCTTCTTCTGCAGACTGAGGGCAGGCACGCACGCGCAAGCCCCCACGCGATGTCATGCAGTGTCCAGGTCTGTGAGGTGACATAAGGCACACGCCCACACTGGTCGGAAGAGCTGTCACTCTCAGTTCCAACCCAGCTTTTTCTCTCCCGCTCTCTCTCTCTCTCTCTGTGTCTCTGTCTGTGTTGTATCTTGCACTAGGTGCCCAGCACTTGGGACGAGGAGGTGAGGAGCGACCACCAGTCTTTCAGAAATGCCTGGTCACACAGACTGCAAATTGAGCTCGGCTCCCTGGGCCGGAAAGCCTTTTAGCTACAAATCATCGGTGCTCAAGTTTGTGAAGGTGGTCTTGCTACAAGCAGAACTCGGAGGGCCTCCTTCAGGTCGTGCATCGTCTCGTCGACGTCGCGATCCCCGCAAACCAGTGGAAGATTCCTCTGCTCTGCCACCTCCCGAGTCGTATGGACAGAAACCCGAGCAAGCTAACGCCATCGCAGCAGATTCGAGGCTCCGGCCTCAATGGCGGCGAAAAATTCGGCTCCGGGCCGAAGATCGAAAATCTTTGCAATGGCTGCCTCTGCAGCTCAGCACGGGTCGCGGAGTGCAGCGCAGATGCGACCGCTCGGAAGCATCGCATGCTCTGAGAGCAGCGCTTGCTGTGCTTTGAGCAGCGTGCGAAAAATTCGGTCCTGTCAGCAATGAAGGTTGTGCAACTGCCCCACCAGATTGGGCAGCAAAGCATTCCATGTTGCTGCATGCTGACAATACTCGCTACTCCCGTCCATCAAGGGCCCACTGCCCGTCTTGATATTGCCTCAACATCGAAGGCATTCGCTGGTCAGCGAGAAGACGTGACGAGGCGCAAGCTGAGAGCTTCTGCCAGGCTTGGGACTTCCGTGCTGCCCATTCTTGCCTGCACAGCCATGACAGGTGATCAGGCTAACAGCAGGCTAGGACTCGACTCCGCAACAGACACTCTAAGTCAGGAGACGTGGGGGCAACCTCCATTTCTGGGTGTCTTATGTAGAGTCTTTTGGCCTTCAGCTCCTTGAGGCGCCCGTCGCAGAGTTCGACCTGCCCCCTCCCCCCCCGGTTATCTTTCTCCTTTGTCTAACTCTGCAAAGGCGCGAAAATGAGGTCGGGATTGGATTCGTCGGCGATCTCAGCTACTAGCGTGTTCTGGCTGCTGGCGATGTTGCACCGAAGGCGAGCAGACTGAGACGGTTGCTTTCTTGACTTCAGCCGCTGATACTTTGGACACATGCCTGGGCGCTGTCTGCAGGACCGTTGCAGAAGCTGGTAAGCTCCAACCAATTTCGAGAAGCGGCGCCGTGCCTAGCAGCCAAACTTGTCGACCTGGTACTTAGATTCCCTCAAACACTTCAGCCGGACAATCACAACATGGACATGCTTCCTGCACCTGACACTCCGACACTGCTTTATAGCTGGTACAGCAATTCTCCCTGTCTGCGATTGAAATTGCAGAAGCTCTCTTCTTGTAAGCACGTCCCTCGCTCATTTGCAAGCTGCAAGGCCTGGAGAATCCAGGTACGAGAGTGTCCTGCCAAGACATAGGCTTGACATTGCTCTGGCCCTCGTCCTATCTGTGACTAACACCGGCTCCGAGTGCTCCCGTCTAGGGACACCGTTCACTCTGTCATGGAGGCGCTGCACGTGGTTTGCAACGGTCCGATAGACGCTGGATACGCGGACGGCAACGCCAGGCTCTTTTCCAAATCCTTTGTCAGCACCAGATGTGTGTTCTGATGCTTGCACTCTGCTTGCAGGCCGTTTGGGCAAACTCAATTTCAGCTTCACGGCAATGCATGCATAATGCTGCAGAAGCAGCAGGATACACACATCGGGTTAGCCCAGCTTGCTGTCAGGGCCATTTGCTGCAACAGGCTGTTAAAGCCTTGTATGGAGCTGTCGGCACAAGTAAGTGAAGCTGGGCGATTGAGTACACTTGGCTTAGTTGCTGTGACGGCACACAGGTTTCGGCCTGAGACTCCGGACTGGGCAGTTAGTGCGCAGCTCTTTAAGGTGCGACAAATTCTACATGTGCGACAAATTCCACATGTGGGGAACCACGATGAAGTGCAACGATTCTCTTGCTTGGCTCCCTCGGCCCCGGGACAGTTAGAGCACAGTAGCGGCCAAACTAAACCCATCACGTTGCTCGGCCAAGCAGCTTACATTTGTGGACCATCGCCTCTGCGATGTTGCTACCGCATCGGAAAGCCTCTGGCATGCTGAGATGTTGGTGCCAAACACTCGAAACTACAGACTACCAGCCGTGTGCCCTATAGCTCCGGCCTGGAGGACCCACGGGATCGCTTGAAGATAGACCGCATCCGTCGACAAGTGGATCGAAACGGTTGCTTAGGGTGTTGGTCAGTGCTGCAAAGCTGTTCAGCTGCTTTGCCCCCTCGCTCGTTCAGACCCTCAGAGCCCATAGCATGAACCAAAATCGCGTGCCTACAAAATCTACTCGACATGCTGATAGCGAAGGTCTGTGGCTCATCTTCTTGCTCGTGTCAGGCTTCGTGCTCTGTGGATTTGAGAGAAGAGCTTCGAGGCCCGAGCAAGCAGACAGAAATGGCATCGAAATTCCTTGGTCCTTCTCTCTGGACCGCAGCTTTCCCTTCAATCATCTTTCTAATCCCCAAATCCCCAATTACACACTTTACAACAGATTCAGTTGCCTCTACTGGCAGCAATTCATAGCATACTCTTGTGCTTCTGCCAGGGGTCTGCTCGACACCTTCACCTTTACTGTGTGGACGCTAACAGGATCAGAACACACCATTGGGCCTCACGACTCACGACACCCGACCAAAACCGAAAGACGTACAAACTTTCTCTTTAACTGACTTAAAACGGATGCCAAGGCCAGGGGATGGCACCGGCATCGAGGCCGAGCGAATCGAAGAGACCAGCTGCGGCCGCGACTCAGCGATCCCCAGTGCAGCTTGTTTTGGGGGAGCATGGAATGGGCTTAGGGTTCTCAGACTTCTGACACAGGCCCCTGGAGGCATCACTTGAGGGTACCGTGGGTGAGGCCTCATCGCGCGGCTCCGTGGATAGCGGCTAAGCGGCTAGTCTTCTGGGTTTACCATTCCTTGCAGAAGTTGAACTTCGAAAGGGCTTCAACTCTTCAACACCGCCCACAACTGATCACCACTGCTCAGTTGCGGTACCCAAACGACGGAGCTTGGCTGCCTCGGCACAAAAGATACAAAAGATCCACATAGAAGTTACAAACGCTATGGCGATGAATTTATCAAGTGCTTAATCGAACGCGCATCGCACCAGTCGGGTTTGCAGTCAAAAACTTCGAATACATAGAAGACACCTGTGCAGCTGGGTTCCCCGGCTGCGGGCAGTGGGCAGTGAGAGACACGCTGCAGGGCACCTTCCACACGCTCAGCCTGTCTCCAAGCAGCCAAAGGAAGGAATGCGGGTAGATGGCGTGCACTTACGTTTGAGGTAACCTGCTATCGATCACCTGAGACCCTGGGATCGGGTGAACACTCGCAATTCAGGTTCGGCTTCAGTCATATACAGGCCTCGTCCCCCAAGCAAATGATGCCTTCAATCCGCCGCCAAAAAACAAGGACAACACGAGTAAGTGATGGTTCTTTCGGCCTGAGAGCTTCCTTGATGCCCCTCGGGTCCTTTGTTGGTGTTGTGGGTAATCCACGCATCGCTGCAGGAGATCCACCCACACAACATCCGACGATCTTCCTGGCTTAGTCCTACCCACTTCCTGCTTTGCAGACGTTTCTCAGCAGCAGGGCCTTGTCCAGCGCTCGGAAAAGGCTCCTAAGTGGACGAAGGTTCTCCGGGCGTCACAACAAAACCGACCTGAAGAAGATGATTCAAGATGAATGCTGCGCTTCGCCAGCCCACAGCGCAGACGACAGCTTCTGTAAAAGCGGGGAAAACATCATAGTAGGCCCGCTCTCTTGTGCCAAGCGTCGGGTGGCTCTCTGGAGTCGGCCGTTCGGGCCTCACACCTGCAAGGCGGGAGTCAAAGCTCCAAAAAACGACGAAAGCGCAGGGAAGACGTCTGTCCTTTCTTGTCACGCGAGCGCGCGCCGACGCATGTCGTCTGCAGCTTGTCGTGTCTCAACTCTCTTGGAGAGCAGACAGTCTCGTGCACACGTATGGCACTGCGGCACTGCGCGATGCCAGTTTCCAAGACAAGCTACAGTTCTTGGAGATTGGGCGTCAGCATTAAGCCCTTGCAGAAACAATTTCAAACACTTCGATGACGCCAGCAAGCTGATGTGTCAACGGGACATCCCGCGGAAGCCTCGACTTATCTCGATTCTTGATGGCTGGAGCAAACCAGGATTAAGGGATGCAAAACAAATTAAACACAACGAGAACACAAACGTCTTGGGCGGAACATCCGGACAACCAGGTTAAAATAAATGCAAAATGGCTGGCATGAGATCGTTGCACAGTGACTGCACAGGCTCCAACTGCACCTAAATGGTAGGATCCAGACTCACAGCACGAAAAGTGCAGTACGGCCAAGACGTGTCCGGTGTGAGTGCATGCAACCGGGAATCTTCCAACTTTTCAACACATACAAGCCGTACATTCTGCCCGACCCGTCGGCCGAGGACGTGGACACTGGCTGCACTGGTCTAAGTCGAAAGCTGCGCAGCCAACGAACCCGTCCATGAGACCTTCTCCGGGATCAACTAGCTTTCATCTCACACACGCCTGCCATGCCATCCTGCTCGGGCCTGGGCACTCAGGAAGCAGGAGGGAAGTGTCCCTCCTCCCAGGCAGGTAATTCGAAATCTCCGCGACATCGAGGCCGT